TAACTTGGGGGAAATTTAGACAAATGCCATAAGGTCTGTTAAAACATGCTCAAAATAATTATGTTTATTCAATCAGTTTCCTTTAAATTTCTGGCTTTTATTACATTTCACACAAGAGGAACTCATTCACTATCTATTTCCTAAATAAAATTAAAAAAATAGAAACAGAAAAGAACCAGTCCCTCTATTTAAATGACAAATTGTGAATACAGTTTCTACTCTATTTATTCTCCTGGCATCCCTGTGAAGTAGAAAAGTGCTACTATCCCCTTTCTGAGGGGGCAGCTGGACAACTGAATGGAAGCACGAAAGGAAATGACACCTCTGAAATGACAGGAACGTGAACCTACATCTTGCACATTCTAGATTCATATAGTCTAACCAGGGGACAATCTTTCTCTTCTTACAAAGAAATAGCTCCCTTGATAATGCAACCACCTCACTAATTGCACTAAATGCCTTCAGAGCACAGGCATCTGTGGCCTGGAAGGCTGCGCCATGATAGCACGTGGGTCTGAAAACATTTCCAGGGAGATCATAAACCAAATTTCGTCTCTTATTCAAAGCATCACAGAACCTCAGGTGTGCATACAGAGCAAGGATAACTATGGCTTTGATAAACGTACTGGATAAGATCTTACAACTTACCTGACTGCTGTGTCATTTTCTTTCCAGGCTGCCTTGTACATCTAAGACTTGACACTATCTCCAAGGCCATGAAATACTCTCTTGAGGTCTCTTAAGTAAATTTTGTAAGCAAAACACCCACAAAAAACTTTACAGGCTACTTCTATTTCTTACCTGCAGGGCTGCTTGGCACATGTCCACTAAGCCCTGAATGAGATAATACTTGGCTTCTGCCATCAACTCTTTGATCTCCTGTCTGTGTTTTGGAAGTGCAATTGTGTCATCTCGGAGATAGTTTAAAATTGTTCCGAAGTGCTTCCCACAACGGTCTATAAGGATCCAGCCTGAAAAATAACCATCACATCATTTCAATCACCTCAACACTAGGGGGCAAGAAAAACCTCCTCAGAGAGGTTAAATAAGCCACAGGTTTCCTGAAACTGCACATGATAACTCTTCCCATTTCATTCAGTAGAAGTCTTTACTGACTTTGAGCAAATTGAATTTGGTTACAGAACAGAAACTGACAGTGGAACGACTCCTTTGGTACCTCCCTTATGTTCTCACTACTTTCCAGCACCCCAAAAGAAAAGCCACAAGCTTAAAATACTTGGCTGCCTATCACAAGGCACTAAAATTGCTGCAGGAACCTGACTGCACTGTATCAATTGATCAGTCAGTGGGCTGCCTGACCAAAATTATTATCTGTGCTTCGTCTTTTCTGTATTAGGTTCTGATTAAAGGAATGGACCTTTCCAACGACTATAGGAAGTCACCAGTTTACATCTATTTAACTGACTGTCCAAGCTATTCAAACCTTAAAAAATAAAAATTAAAAAAAAAAAAAAAAAAAAAAAAGCTTATTGTTAGGTAGGTTTCTTGTTTTATTTAGAGGCTTATCATATTCGCAGCAAAATGGTGGTGTGCTGTATTTGTATGGGAATAAATGTATTAATTGCTGCTACAGTGTAATGCTGGGCAATGAGAAACTTATCACTAAGCCAAAGAAAGACTAGAAGAGAGAATTCACAAATGTTTGCAACAAGTAGATGTGGGATAAGTTCTGTGGCCTAACGAGAAGGATTTGGCAGTTTTCCAACCACATCTTCCGCTGTTGTTCGGCGTTAAAGAGGGAGAAGTGTTCCAAAGATGCTAAAAGGTAGACTAGCCCAGAAAACCCAGTATGGGAAAAAGGCTGTTCTAGTCTCCAAATAGGAGCAAACAACAGGACAGAGACAGATCAGGAGGGAGTGGAGAGGGGATGCAGCACAGGAACAGTAGCAGACAGACAGTTCTTGCAATTTTAAAACATCCCTGAAGTCACATTCACTAGGAAACAGGATGTCTGACTTGCTGGCAAACAATAGCAATGTAGGACACACACAGGCAGAGGACTTAATACAATGCCAAACCCTGTTCCATAATGTGGAAGGCAGGCAAAAAAGGGTTATTTTGGGACCTAGGTACAGAAAACGACATAGGAAAGTAGACTAAACCACTGCTAGATTCTCCAGCTGCAGCTATTGGAACATGAACCTTGTCCTCCATTCAGGCTGAGGCTCTTATACAAAACTGCTGGACTAAATGGATTTAGTTGTATGTAACACTCAACAAAACCCAGCCTACTTGAGTGGAACTTGGTTTAAATGATATGCAAAATCCATAAGGAGTTGTTTCAGCTTAAGTAAACACACTGTTGTGCACCAAGTTTAAACTGATGTAATCTGGGCACGCAGAAGAACTTTTGCATACGAGTGTTCAGAAACACCAAGAGGTTAAATACTCGCCAGCCTCTCTCAGCCTCTTCTCCACAGTGTGCCACAACCCTCATTCCTAAGGTATCATTTTGCCCTGGACTACTAAAGAGAGGAAAATGAAAGCACTCGTAGCCATTGCTGATATTGGTGGTCTTACTTGTTCTATTCTCTGTAATTTATTATGGATTTTTATAATGCCAATATTCAGCGTCCAGCAGGAGGTGACATACTCCTTGACTGACGGCTAAATACTGTCACAGCATCATAAGCCACAAGTGGAATATGCTACTGAGAGGAGGAAAAAAAAAGAATTTTCAACATAGCAAGCAAGGCTATTCTGATTTTTAAAGATGAAAACTGAATATCCCTCCCCACACACGCATTTCGAATGATGCCACTACATGTCACCGCATAAATGACAACCCACATACTGTCTGTTCAGTCTTCAAAACAACATCAACAATCTGCATACCAGCTGTGACTGTAGGAAAGAGAACCAGTCCTTCCGCTAGTTAATTTTAGTAACAAAAGAACACATTTTTATAAAGCACAGAGGATTGTCAGCGCCAATGGGAGTCAGCTGCGTAATGTTCCAAGTTATTTCTGGAATATACCTTCCCCTACATCCTTAACTGAGGGTAGTCTTAAGATATTTAAAAAAACACCAGCAAAACCCAGTTGCTTTAAAAATGCTCAAGAACAAAAGACATTCCCTTACCTTCCTTGTCTGTGAGCACTTCCATTCTGCCGCTGAACATGGCCTTAAGCATTGTGTCGTGCCTGGTCAGTACTTGTACTGTAGTGTAATATAAAGAGCCCCCGACATTTAGTCGCACATACTTGTTACCAAGGCTGCCCCCTTTGAAGCTGCAAGTTTTGGGCTTGGGCCCTGCAGCTGGACAAAGAGTGGTGGTTAGACACGTGTCCCCCGACATCTCCTTCTGTAGGTAGATGACAACCCTGCAGAGCGTGGGCTTGATGGATTCCGCCGTGATTGGTGAAAAGTCACAAGTCACCAGACGAGGACAGCAAGGCAAAAGCAGTCATAACCAATGGACCCTTGAAACAGAAACGTATAAGATCAATACGGAAGCCTGGAATTTCCATTTACAACAAAAACACGAAGCCCACATTAAAGAAGAGATACTTTCAGTGGATTCCTAAGGGCACATCCACACACATTCTGGCAAAACAAGGTTTAGCTGTTTTTCAGACAACTTACACAGCAATATAATGCAGTCAAGTTACAGTTGCGTTACTGTTAGTGCGCACGCTAAACTCTTCCGGACTTCCTGTTATTTCGTCTTCAGCCAACATGACACACCACACAATACTCCAGCTAAACGCTAGCTGGAATTCGGCTCCCTCTCAACTTCCCAAAAGAACACAAGTCTTTTTGTGCGGAGCTGAAACACAACGGAAGAGCTTTCTGCCCTTCCTTCAGCTGGGGTGCGTATCTGCATGTGTGGGGTTTGTTGTTGTTTTGTTTTTTAACTGGAAACATTTACAAATGTCTCTTCAAATGCCTTGACACTGAAATGCTGGACCATAACATTCTATTTTCTGGCAACTCCTTTCATCCAAAACTCTTCTTCCTCCACCCTGGAATGCCAAGCAGTCAATGTAGTTTTAATTAAAAAAAAAAATTAACACCACCACCCCCTGCCAAGTATGCCCGGTCTTTGGAATATTTGTCTCAATTAAAAAGCCAGCTAGACATTCACAGCTTCTTTCTCTCCCCAGTCTCACTACGCTCATCTTTCCATCAACAATAAGCTCAAAATGGACAAGCTAGACATTCACCAGCTTCTTTCTCTCCCCAGTCTCACTACGTTCATCTTTCCATCGACAATAAGCTCAAAATGGAAACAAACAAAGAAAAGCATGAAACTCTAATGGGCCAGATCTGGAGTTCTTTAACCGGAAAAGTACAAATACAAGTTTCTTACCTGTCCTTCTTCTAATAATTATTGTTCTCAAAAAACATTTTGCTGTTGGGTTTTTTTTTGTTGTTTTTTTAAAACTCTTTCAGACTACAAGTATCTTCTCACTTCTCTGTTCTGGGCCTATGGCACATGAGTAACCTTTTATAAATAAATATAACCACCTGCTAATTCTATTGTTATTCTTCCTACACCCTTCTTCCTTCTGACCCCACCTCAGCTTTCAACGTAGAAAAAAGCCCACAGCCATCCATCTGTACAGCAAGTTACGTGGCAGCTACAGCTGGTATCTTGAAATTGCCAGGGATGTGAGTAACTGCTGAACTTAGAGCAACGCCTAAAATACAACGTTACTCTGCGATTCCTAACTCCGTTATTTTAACTAAGCAAACACTACAATGTCTATTAAATAGCAAGCAATGAAAATATTGTGCAGATCATCAAGACACAAACCAATTCTAAGAATTCTAGTGCCAAAAAACCTCAGTTTGTCTACAAACGCTTTAACTGGAACTCCCACTGGCTGCCATCATTCTTTGCTTTCAACCCATCGCCATAAAACCAATAGCACGCTTCAGCCTGCATCTGGGCAAGACAAAGGTTTTTCTGACTACATCACTTGAGTCAAGTAGCCCATGAGCAAATCTAAGTCGAAGGCAGCTGCACGCTACACATGGAATTGGCCAGAGAAGTAATTCCTGACTGGCAAGCAAGCAGCAGCAACCAAAAATTGTGCAGCGTGGTCACGGTGATATATAAGAAGTTCGCTACTCAAACAAAGCAGTTAAGGGTTATAGAGAAATCAACCGGCAATTGTCCAAGCCTTGCGAGTACCACAGTTCCCCCTAACCCGTCGCAGGTGTTTACTGCAATCCATTACGAGTTAGTAAATCAAGAGCAGAAGCAACTGCACCATGTCTCGCAGTTGAGACCTTTGGTAACAGTGGAAATATGCCCTAGGTCTGCACATTTGTCGCTGATGTCCTGCCTTGCTTTAAACCCTCAGCAATGCCTTCTTTAGAACAAAAGCGTGTCTGTAAAGACAGCCAGACTGATTCTGTCACGAGGGAGAAATCCAGACACAAACAGGGCTCTCCAATTTCAACAGCGATCTGTCTGAACGTATCCGTTGGTCAGGTTTTCAGTCAGTTCTACCACTTCAGGCCTTTACTCACTTCTCTGACCAAGCAGATCGAGGGTAAGTACGAGCAGAATCCCCTACGCAGCCAATCCACGTAGGAGTCAGTACTGTTCCTTAACTAACGAGCTAGGAGCCTTTTGCTGTAAACAGTAATGTAACCTTTAATTACCCCCATTAACGCAAGAGAAAATTTTTCTGCGTCCCTTCCTTCCTGCCTTGTGAGGGAGGTGGGAGGAGGACTGCGGAACAATGGCACGACAGCTGGGACACCACCTCAGGAAACGGTCCCTGTTGAGAACTTCCATAAGGAGGAATAACCTTAACGGCTCAAGGGGGGAACCCCAAACGGCCACCCTCCCGCGCAGCATCGCTTCCAAACCGGGCACGCCTCTGGCCTAAATCCTCCAGCCCCTTACCGGTCCACACCAAACGGCCCCCTCGGTCTGTTGGCACCCCCGCGCCCTGCCGTGGCTGTCGCGGCGGGGCAGAGGCGGGACCCCGGCCCCGCCAAGCCAGGGCTGCGCGGGGCCGGCGCTG